AAAATCAGCCCAAGTCATCCAGAGGCAAGAGATGACTATGATGACCATCATTCCAACATCCCTGTGCATACAGCACATGCATGACTTAATGATTTTGTATATGTGTGACCATACTCTCCATGATATTTGTGACCTGCTTTTCCCACCCAACTCACTATGGAGATCTTTCCATTCCAATCTGTATAAATTTGTGATTTATTGTGGTCCCCAACCCTTGGACCACAAACAAATACTGGTCTATGGGCTATTAGATACCAGCTGCACAGAAAGAGGTAAGTGGCAGCTGAGCAAGCAAAACTTCATCTATATTTATAGTGGTCCCCATCACTTGCATTACTGCCTCAGCACCACCTTCTTTCAGATCAGCAGCAGCATTAGGTTTTCATAGGAATAAGAACTCTACTGTGAACTGCACATGTGAGGGAGCCAAGTTGTGTTCTACGTATGAGACTCTAATGCCTGATGAGCTGAGGCAGTGATGCTAGCCCTGGAGAGCAGCTGCAAATGCAGATTAGCATTAGCAGAGATGTTTGACTGCAGAGAAACCACAATAAATCGTTTGCAGGCTCATATAAAAACACTATCAGTGTTTTGCCGCCTGTTGCACAAGTGCAAGGACCTGAGTTTGATCCCTGGTACCAAAAAAAAAACCACTATCAGTGACTGGCAAGTGATAATTCAACTGCATCTGATGGCAGACTTTATAGTAGCAAGTGAGTTGATGCACTTCAATTGTACACCTGTACAATTCTGCCTGGTGGCAGGCTTTAAGTCAGAATCATACACTTATTTTAGTCCACACATGGCTCACCTATTATTTTGTTTACCACCTACACTTGTGCCTCTATCTCACACTGCCACTTTTCTAGTTACAGTTTTAGTAAGCCCACAAGCTAACCCTAATCAAAATGAGTAAAAATCATCCCTGGAGAGCTTCTTTGTGAAAGATAGAAGACCCAGTTATGAGACAGCAGAAGACTCTCAGACCATCAACAAAAGAAAGCCTTTAAAAGAAAAATACCAGTGACAGGTTCATTGCAAGAAGTGATTCACATTCTACAAGCCCACTTTGTATAATATATGGTGACCAGCTATTGAATGAAGCCATGAATCCTTCAAAACTGCATAGCCATATGGGGACCAAGCACCTTGCATTAAAATAAAAGACTTTGGCAGTTTTAATTTTTTAAAACATGTGAACACAAAAAAATAGAAGCAAGTATTGAATGTCACAATTCATCCAATGTCTCTGCACTGACAGCATCATTCTTAGTGGCTAACTGCATTGTTAAAGCTAAGAGGCCCTTTACCATTGGTGAAAAGTTGATCCTGTATGCTGCTATTCAAGTCTTTGAATGATTTCATATCAGGAAAACTGAATTGGTCATTTTGTGTTGGTATATGCATGGACAGAGTGGCTTCTATGACTGAATGGCTTTCTGGTTTCACTATTCAGATCAAAGTGGTCTCTTCTAAATGTGAATCCACACACTATGTCATCCATAGAGAAATGCTTTTTAGCAAAAAAAAAAAAAAATCACTGAAGCTTAACACTGTTTTACAGAATGTGATTAACATTATCAACCACATCAAGGCACATGACCTTAGCTCAGTCATTCTTCCTGTCATAAAACCTTCAGGAGAGTATCAGATGGTAAAAGACCTCAACCTCATTAATGAATCTGTGATACCAATACATCCTGTCATGGCAGATCCATATACAACCCTCTCTTAAATTCCAGAAGACACAAATTGGTTCTCAGTCTTGGACCTCAAAGATGCTTTCTATTCTATTTCTCTCCATCAAGACTCCCAATTCTGGCTTGCCTTTGAATGGGAAAAATTCCATCTCAAAAGAAAAAGAGCAATATACTTGGACTGTTCTCCCACAAGGCTTTGAGATGGTCCCCATCTTTTTGTTCAGGCACTGGGAAAGGAGCTTACTTAGGACTGTCCTACAATATGCAGATGATATTCTAATCTGCATCACAAATAGGGAGTTATCCAACTATACTACTATCCAAATTCTCAGTTTTCTGGCTGAATAGATGTGAGCTTTCAAAAGAAAAGGCTTCTGAGAGTTCAATCTTTAGGATACATTCTTACACCCAGAGAATGACAACTGACTGGTTTCAGATCCAGGTTATCTATGATCTTAGGCCCCCTTCATTCTTTCCTGGGGAAGGCCAGGTTCTACCAAATCTGAGTACCTAATTTTGGGCTAATGGCAATGCCTCTGTGTGAGACTATCAAAGGTCCTGAATTCTGAGACTTTGGAATGGACAAAAGCAACTAACAATGATTTTTGGGAAATAAAGTATGCCCTCACTCAGGCTCCAGCCCTACAAATACCTGAATTGAGAAAACCCTTCTTCCTCTACTTATCAGGAAAGAAGAATTACTCTGGGTATCTTGACCCAAAAGGTAAATCAGGAACCTTGCCTAATGGCAGACTTTTTAGCAAAGTTAGATGGAGCTTCTACTAGTTGGCAATGTTGCTAAGAGCAGTAGTGGCTATTAGGCTCTTGATAGTTTATCTAATATCCCTCATTGCCATGCTTTCCTCTCCACTGGGAGTATGAGAATAAAACTCATTAGTAAACTTCTCCTAAATAGGAGGGAAATAATGTCCCTAGTTTCTGAATCTGTTATAGTCCACCTTTTAAGGCAGACCTCACTTGTAAATGAAATCAGGCCAAGTTCCATGAACTTTAAGCTGGGAAACTGTTGATTTGAGTGAACACCTATGGGTTTTTCTGGCCCTGGGTATGGTAGGCCCTAGACTGTGGCCTGCCTCACTGTGAGCTTAGCTTCAAAAGAGAACACTTGAGCTACAAGGACAGCCATAGGCTTATGATCTCCTTTCTAATTTGCCATCTCGTTCTTTTTTCCAAACAAATGTGTTTTTTACTCAATAACAAAGCATCTGAAAAGATCCCACAGTACTCCTACTATAGTTACATGGCCTCTACATAAGAGCAGGAAATGGTGAATGCTAAGTATGTGCTGGCTTGGTTTGGTTTAAAGAGATCACTTCTGAGAAACACTTAGGATCAGTACTTGCATATCAGAGATGTGTCCTGACAGCTGGGGTTTATTGACACAAGTGCAGCTTTGCTCATTTTTATGTTCATTTATCCCCCTGCATTTGTCAGAGCACCAAGAGAGAGGTGAGAGATTCTCTCCAACTGACTTTGAGAAGGAAAGATCCGCTGAGATTTATTTTGTTTTGGCTGATGTTTGTTAGGTTGCTTGCTTAAGCAGTACTGGGGATTGAACTCTTTGCACTGAGTTACATATTTTTTATTTTGAGATAGGTAACCCAAACTGGACTTGAACTTGAGATCCTTTTGCCTCAGCCTCCCAGAGTGCTAGAATTACATGCACATGCCAAAATGTTCAGCTGATCTGCTGTTTTAATGTTTTATGAGGATTTCTCAAATGTCCAAACTGAACTACAAATGACTTCATGTTTGGACATCAATGTATAGACAATCAAATCCATAACCTCTTCCTCTTAGGGACATAGCTACACTGTATTTCCCGTGCTCCTTTGAGCTTATCACTGAGAGAAAGTGAACAGAAGTGGCATGAGACACTTCCAGGCCCAGTCTACATAAACCTCTGTTGGTCATCCTCCTCCCTCTCACCTTCTCCACCCGCCAAGTGATGTCCATGCCCAGATAAGGTTAAAATCATGTTTGAAGAATTGTGGAGGAGCCTCCATAAGCCAAATCCTTGAAGGATTGGGTAGAACTCCTTTGGCCCACACTACTACCCCTGTTGATTGATTTATACAAAAAAACATAAATGTCAATGATATAAGGCCCCTGAAATGTGGAAGGCAGCATTTAGCCGGTACTGGCTCCTACAGCATGCAAGAGCCCACCTTTCTGATCATCCTTTCTTTGCCCTTCCTGATTATTTCTAAGAACTTACCCTGAGCTAGAGAAGGATGGAGAAAAACAGTTGGGTTGTTGCATACTAGCATGTTGCTATGGCTTTGGAGAAGATAGTAAAAAGGAAGTAAAGAACATTCATGGCTAAAATGGAAATGCTATCCCAACCAACAAACATTTGTTGGGCATGTTCCCTAAGGTAGCCATTCTACCAGGTGCTGGGAATATAAAAGTATAAACCTTCATCTCTACCTTGGAATTAAAATAAAAACAAGTCATTCTATACCTCACCAAACTTACAAATTACAGTATTTGGGGAGAAATGTGACCTAAAAGATCATTGACTAGAGCCAGGCACACCTTTAATCCTAGCACTTGGTTAAGGTTGTGTCTACAAAGTTTCTCCATTGCAAAGTTACTATCTTTCCCATTCATTACCCTATCCAGCAGATATGAGCTGTCTTTATGTGTTTGTTGGTGAGGTGGACACTCAATTCTTTTACCAATTTTTTAATTGGATTGAGTTCTTTTTGTTAGAGCTCCTTATATATTCTCTATATAAGATCTTTATGAATATATGATTTGAAATATTTTTCCAAGTCTATGGCTCAACTCTTCATTCACTTGAAAGTATCTTTTGAAGAGCAGATGTTTTAAAATTTTAAGCCAGGTGTGGTGACATATCTCTATAATTCCAGCCCTGGGGAGGCTGGGGGGAGAGGATTATCTCAAATTCTAGGCTAAACTGGTATACATAGTTAGTTCAAAACCAGCCTGAACTACATTGCAAGACCCTATCTCAAAAAAGCAAACAAAATTTATAAAATCAAATTTATCAAAATTTTTACTTTTATGAACCATACTTTTATTTTATTCTTAAGACCATACTTTTGATGTCATGCTTTGATAAACCCAAGATCACAGAAATTTTTTCCAGTTTCCTTTTGGAAGTTTTATAGTTTTAGGTTTTACATTTAGATCTGTGATTTACTTTGAATTAATTTTATATAAGACCTAAGTTATTTGTCTATATTAATTTTTCTATATGAATGTTCAATTGTTTCAGCACCGTTTAATAAAAATGATTCTTTCTACACTGAGCCAACTTTGCAACTTTATTTAAAAGGCATTGAATATGTTTGTATGAGTCTATTTATGGACTCTTCTGTTGCATTGGTCTATGTTCTATCCTTTCACCAATGCCACCATCTTGTAGCTTTTGAATAAGTTGTGATATTGGGTAGTGCAAGTCTTCCAACTTAGCTCTTATTTTACAGAAACTTTTGACTAATCTAGTTCTTTCACTTTTCCAAATTTCAGATTCAGCTTGTTGATATCTGCAAAGAAGCATATAGTTGGGGGTTTTTTTTGTTAAATTCTTTTATTGGTACATTGTAGGTATACAACACAATTACATTTCTCATTGGGAATTGTACCTTTACATAATGCATCTTGG